GAATCAACTTTTGTGAGTGTGCTTAGTGTTGAGATGAGGCTGCTATCAAAATTACTGATGTAAGGGCTGGACTGAGTAGTGATTTTGTGTTCCAAACTACTATGGTCATTTCTAAGGGCTGTCACAGGTATAATCAAGTTATTTACTCTTGCTCAGTGCTTTATTTTGGTCAAAATCTTGCTAGAACTAATTTTGAATCTCTAGACCGTTATTCAAGCCTAATTTCTGTTTCTATCCGAGATTTAAGCACAAAATGATTAAGATCAGCTGTTTCATGGATTATTTTCTTGCTAGCAAGTTTTGTTTGGTGAATTAAAGCTGTTGAAATTGGCTGTGGAACATTATATTGGTAATTGAGTTATTGAACTTGCTGAAACCTTAAATCAGTGTTGTTGTATGCTTATGTAAGCACTATAATTGAAATTTTGTGAACACTCATGCTATACTTGATTATACAAAGTTATGAATATGAGTACTATAGTGAAAGAAGACTGAATGAGATGCTGGTGAATTGATCTTGAGAGGAATTTCCCATTTTACCCCTCAAACCGTAAGTACAGCAGATTGATGTTTTGAGGCAGTAAATTGAAATTCTGTGTTGCCCAGCTTATTGTTTGTTGTTGTGAAGACCTTCTTGTGATTCTCTACATCTATAATGGTGTGTGTGATAAGCTAGGAGAGCTTATTTGGTCCAAGCATGGTTGCTTAGGATAGGGGAGTGCTTGTATGCACTATGGTGTGCTAGTGTGTGTATTGGTTGTGAAAACTAGTGTTTATTCTTGTACTTGGGTGTGTGTAGAGAGTGAGACAGCTGAGTGAGTAACAAGATACATACATCTAGTAGTGGACTTTATATTGGTTAAGGCCAAGAACCAAGGTTTTCCCTAGTTTAGAGGGTTTCATTGTAGTTTCCTGTTACACTGATCTTTAATTACTGGTTAATTTTCTGTGAGGACTTAAACATTGCAAAGGTTTTAACCAATTCACCCCCCTCTTGGTTCAACAATTCATATCAGAGCCCTGGCCCATATTGTAAGGTTCTAATAAGCCTGCAACTGATCCTAACTATGGATGAAGGTTAAGTTATCAATAAAGCTCCAAGGTTTAAAGACTCAAACTATGATTCGTAGAAGACCTGAATGGAAGCTTTCCTAATGTCTCTGTCCTATAATGCTTGACATGCCACTCTGCATGGTGTTGTTATTCTTAATCCTGAAAATCCTTCTGCTAAAGACAAGCTAGCTGTAGCAAATGATGGAAAGGAAAAACATGTTATATTCTGTGCTTTGAAGCAACAAGAGTTTACCAGAGTTAGAAATTATAAGACAGCCAAGGAAATGTGTGTTTCTCTTCTAGCAGCTCATGAAGGAAACAATGTGATAAAAGACAACAAAATTCAACTATTTAAGGTCCAATATGAAATCTGTAAATGGCAGAAAAGGAAACTGTGGCTGAGTACATGTTCAGGATTAATGATTTTGTCAACAATATGAAATCTCTTGGTAAAGATATTAAAGACTCTGAAGTTTGCAAGAAAATACTCAGATCCCTCACCTCTAGATTTAATGCTGAGGTTATTATTCTAGAAGATAAGGATTTAACTAACATGAAGATTGATGACCTTCAAGCTTTACTTACAACTTATGAGATGAGGATTAGTCCTCCAATCTCACATAGCAAAGAATTTGCAGCCAAAGCTAAGGAGGTTATTGAGGAGGTTGGTGTAAAATCTGAAGATAATCTTAAAGATGATGAAGTGGCTTATCTTGCTAAGAAATTTAGAAAGTTCAGATTCAAAAAGAAATCTCAACTGCATAATCTAACCTGTTATGGTTATGGTAAACCTGGACATGTGGTATCTAACTATCCTAATTCAAAGGGGCAACATCAAAGGAAGTATGAAGGACAGAATAACAAAGGAAGTTTTGGAAAGAAGGCTCTAATAACTAACTGGGATACATCTCCTGAGGAAGAAAAACCTGAAGAACCATAAGAAAATGAATGTCTTTTCATGGCCATTCTTGAAACATCAATAGATTCAGCTCAAGTTGAAGAAGAAAGTGATACAGAGATAGAAGAAATTCTAGAAGAATATGAAAGACTTGTTGTGAAGTGTAATTAACAGAAATCTCAACTCAAAAGGTTCAATGCAGACTTGTTAAAGTCAAGACAGATTCTCATCAAACACTGCAAGCTTAAGCTGTCAATCTTGTGTTCAATCTCTCTTATATTTCAAAGTTTGCTAAAGTCTCAAAACAACACTCAGTGGTCGACCAAGAAGTGTAAAGAAGAACTATCCCTAATATTTAAAGAAAGATCCTTGAAAATCAATGAGATATGGAAGCAATCTACTAAGCAAATTGGGAAGATTGGAATTAGCCATGTCTATGATACAGCCTTAAAGTTTGAACACAGTCACTCTGTCTTTGTTAAGGCTACAACTGGAGAAGTGTATGTAAGATTTCTTATCATAAAAACTCAGAGGTTTAAGGGTGAGGTACTCAGTAACCCCTACAATGCTCTAAGTTTCAATAACAGAAACTTTGTCACCACAGCCATAAAGAATTTCAAGATAACTAGAATATATATCAAGAAGTCAAACTTAACTTCAGCTCAGAAGGGCACGGACAACGGATCATTGGTGAAGTCTAGAGATGTAGATTCCCAAGAAATTGAACTTAGTGAGTCTTCTAGTGTACACAGCTTTTAAAGCTTGTAACACTTAAAACAAATGGTATATTAATAGTGGCTGCTCTAGACACATGATAGGTGATGAATCCAAATTTAATTCTCTAAAGCAGTTTGATGGGGGAAATGTTATCTTTGGAGACAATCAAAAGGCAAAAATTATTAGTATTGGAACTGTAAACAAGTCTGAAGAATTACTTGAGATTCATGAAGTTTTACTTGTTGAAGGGCTCAAACACAATCTTCTCAGTGTTAACCAACTGTGTGATAATGGGAAAGAAGTATGCTTCAATAAAGAAAAGTGCAATGTGGTTGATCTCAGATCCAAACAAGTACTTTTCTCAGCTTATAGATCCTTAGGAAATGTTTATACTGTCACTAAAAAAACTCAGACTACTCAATGCAATTTGATAACCTGTGATGAAGCCAAGCTGTGGCATAAAAGATTGGGACATCTGCACTCAAGAAATTTTTCTAAACTTCTCGAACTAAAAGCTATCAAAGGTTTACCTGACATCAACTTCAAAGAAGATCATCTATGCAAAGCTTGTCAACAAGGAAAACAAAAAAAAATCTCATTTCCATCCAAGGAAATGAACTCTTCAAAAGCTCTTGACTTGATACATATGGATCTCTATGGCCCTACCAGAACCACTAGTGTTGGTGGAAGTAAGTATTTCATGCTTCTTGTTGATGATTTTAGTAGGATGGTGTGGGTTTGCTTCTTAAAAGAAAAATCTAAGGCTATTACACATTTCATTAAGTTTGTTAATCTTGTTGAAAATGAAAAATGCTGCACTGTGAAGAGACTTAGGTCTGATTTTGGGTCTGAATTCATCATGAAAGAGTTTGAGCATTACTGTGATGACAAGGGTATTAAAAAAGAATTCTCAGCTATGGTCACTCCTCAACAAAATGGGGTTGTAGAGAGAAAGAATAGGACTATTCAGGAAATGGTAAGAACAATGCTCCTTGAAAAAGTCTTGGTGAAAGCGTTTTGGGTTGAGGCTGTAAGTACTTCTGTGTATATTATTAACAGGGTCCTTCTTAGACCAAATTCAAACAAAACACCCAATGAATTATGGTATAGAAGACCTGCAACAGTTCACTACTTCAAATTTTTTGGTAGCAAATGTTATTAATTGAACCACATTAACAGCTTGGGAAAGTTGGACTCAAAGGCAGATGAAGGTATATTCTTGGGGTATTCTACAAAAAGCATGGCTTATAGGTGCTACAATTTAAGGTCCTCTAAGGTGGTTGAATCTATCCATATGAAATTTGATGAGAATCCTCAGTCCACTCACCTTGAAGAATATGAAAACACTTTAGGATCAAATAAGACTAGTTCCTCAACCAACCAGTCTAAAAATTCAAGGGAAATCCCTTATTCTGGGCTGCAAAAGTAGGTTCAAGCAGAAAACATCATTAGTTCACCTCAAGCTGGAATTCAAACAAGGAACAAAAAGAAGCTAACTAATTTAGAAGCTGAAGATGGTAAGGAATACAGTCACTTTGATATGCTTTCATCTATAAAGCCCAAGTCCTATCTTGAAGCATAGAAAAGTGAAGACTGGATAGCAGCTATGCAGGAAGAACTTAATCAAATTCATAAGAATGATACCTGGACATTTATTCCCAGAATTGTTGACAAGAATGTGATAGGCTCAAAGTGGATTTATAGAAACAAGATGGATGTGAAGGGGTTAGTTATAAGAAATAAGGCAAGATTGGTATGCAAAGGTTATTCTCAGCAAGCTGGAATTGATTATGATGAAACGTTTGCTCCAATTGCTAGAATGGAATCCATTAGAATGCTTCTATCTTTTGCTTATCATAAACAAGTCAAAGTATATCAAATGGATGTTAAGTCTGCCTTCCTAAATGGAGACTTAAATGAAGAATTTTACCTAGAACAGCCTGAAGGTTTTGAAGATTCAAAGTATCCCTCTCATGTGTTCAAACTAAGTAAGGCCTTTTATGGTCTAAAACAAGCCCGTAGAGCCTGGTATGAAAAGCTACATCAGTTCCTAGTTAAACAAGGATTCCATAGAGGCAAGGTTGATAACACTCTTTATGTTAAATCTCATCAAGAGCAGTTGCTAATTTTGCAAATCTATGTTGATGATATCATGTTTTTTGGCTTAGACATCTCCTTAACCTCAGAATTTGCTAATCTTATGAAGACAAGGTTTGAAATGTCACTCTTGAGAACCCTCAAATACTTCTTAGGTCTTGAAATCACTCAAACCTCAAAAGGGATATTCATCTCTTAGTAAAAGTATACCTCTGAGTTACTTAAGAAATTTAATATGGATGATTGTAAGGCTGTCTCCACACTACTGTGCCCTAATACCAAACTCTCACCGGAATGTACTACTGAAGCAGTCCCCTCAACTCTCTACAGGTCTATCATTGGTAGTCTGTTTTATCTTACAGCTTCAAGGCCTGACATCATGTACTCAGTGGGCTTAAAGGCTAGATTTCAAAGTAATCTAAGGGTTTCTCACCTTCAAGCAGCCAAAAGGATCCTCAGATATGTCAAGGGCACCATCTCCAATGGTTTATTCTACATTTACTCACCCTCAATGTATATTGCAACTTTCTCAGATGCTGATTGGGGTGGATCTTTACCTGACAGAAAAAGTACCTCTGGTTATTGCTACATTCTTGGTTCTAATATAGTCTCTTGGTTGAGTATAAAGTAAGACACTATGTCACTTTCAACCTCTAAAGCTGAGTATATAGCTGCCTCACAAGCTAATTCACAATTACTTTGGATGAAAACTATTCTCTCAGATATTGGAATTCAATTCTCAAGGCCTGCCAAGCTTTTCTATGATAATCAAAGTGCTATTGCTATCAGTAAGAATCCCACACTGCATTAGAGGAGCAAACGCATTGACATCAGGTATCACTTTCTTAGAGATAAAGTTCAAAAAGGTCTTATTGATATTACTTACTTGCCTACTGAAGATCAACTTGCAGACATCATGACCAAACCTCTTTTTCCTCAGAGATTTTTAACCCTTTGAGGTTTTCTCATGGTTGTTCCTCCTCCTACCTGATCCTTTTATTGTTGGTCCGGCTCACCTTTTAACCTTTAATATCAAAAAGGAAGAGAATAGGACTGAAATAAGGATAGCTTGAAGTTGTTTCAGCTACTTCCTTTGCATTTTGGATTGTGTTAGGTACTGTATCTTTGTTATATTCATCTTCAAGACCTTATTTCAAGAAAAATTGTTTTATTTTTATTTTTATTTTTTTTTTGTCATTAAAGGCAAAAAGGGGAGATTATTGGTCATAATGTGTTTTAAGGATGTTTGCCTGTTTAATGTCAAATTGTTGTATTTCAGTGGTATCTCAGATGTTTCAAATATGATCTCTAGCTGCATTATGTTTTGAAATAAGGTCCAGGGGTAGCATTGTCATCTACTTCACTGTGACACATTTTATTCACTAGCCTGTAATTGTTCATTTCAATGTATCAGCTTATTTTGGTTGAAATCACTATGGCAGTGATGTTTTGTATCTCAAGTTCGCTATAGGTGTTCTTAGGGGTATTATTATCCTTTTAAAGATGTATTCCATGCATATACATATGTCCTGATAGCTACATTACACTTATCAGCCTTAATTGAGCCTGCATTGTAAATTATATAGTCTCAGGACTATTTATTTGGTGAGAAGAATAATTTATGTCATAAAGGTATTATAGTCTTTTCCAACTGTACTCAGGAGTGTTCTACGACTCAGTGGTCCCAGTGTGTTGATGTATATAGAAATATGTCATTTCTTAGAGGCTAAGTTTGGATAGAATTGGAATTAAGCACTCATGCCTACAACCTATTGTAACTAGTGAGAATAGTGACAAAACAGCTGAGGTGGCAAGCCTGCATTGGTGCAGTTGCTCTGAAAAATATCTGAATAGTCCTTTCAATGATTGGTGGAAGGTGGAAGGTGACAGGTGTATTTGAGCTGTTGTAATGGGGCTGCTATGTGTGTACTGCTATATATATGCTGTGATAAGGTCTTTTAGGGTTAATACCTTATGAGAAAAAGTTACATTGAGAGCTGCAACTGACAAACCTCGAGCATTCAATGTTAATCAAGTTTTACCTAACTATTTGATGATGATTCATGCAAGAAAAACCTGATGAATCAACTTTTGTGAGTGTGCTTAGTGCTGAGATGAGGCTGCTGTCAAAATTACTGATGCAAAGACTGGATTGAGTAGTGATTTTGTGTTCCAAGCTGCTGTGGTCATTTCTAAGGGCTTTCACAGGTATAATCAAATCATTTACTCTTGCTCAGTGCTTTGTTTTGGTCAAAATATTGCTGAAACTAATTTTGAATCTCTAGACCATCATTCAAGCCTAATTTATGTTTCTATCTGAGATTTAAGTACAAAATGATTAAGACTAGCTGTTTCATGGATTATGTTCTTGCTAGCAAGTTTTGTTTGGTGAATTAAAGCTGTTGAAATTAGCTGTGGAACATTATATTGGTAACTGAGTTATTGACCTTGCTGAAACCTTAAATCAATGTTGTCGTGTGCTTATGTAAGCACTATAATTGAAATTTTGGGGAACACTCATGCTATACTTGATTATACAAAGTTATGAACATGAGTACTACAGTAAAAGAAGACTGAATGAGATGCTGGTGAATTGATCTCGAGAGGAATTTCCCATTTTACCCCTCAAACCCTAAGTGCAACATATTGATGTTTTGAGGCAGTAAATTAAAATTCTGTGTTGTATAGCGTATTATTTATTGTTGTGAAGACCTTCTTGTGATTTTCTACATCTGTAATTGTGAGTGTGGTGAGCTAGGAGAGATTATTTGGTCCAAGCATGGTTGCTTAGGACATGGGGAGTGCTTGTATGCACTATGGTATGCTAGTGTGTGTATTGGTTCTGAAAACTAATGTCTATTCTTGTACTTTGGTGTGTGTAAAGCGTAAGACAGTTGAGTGTGTAACAAGATACATACATCTAGTAGTGGACTTTATATTGGCTGAGGCCAAGAACTAAGGTTTTCTCTAGTTTAGAGGGTTTCCTTGTAATTCCTGTTGCACTGATCTTTAATTACTGGTTTATTTTGTGTGAGGACTTAAACATTGTAAAGGTTTTAACCAATTCACCCCCCCTCTTGGTTCAACATACAAGCATCCATAATATGCTAAAACAAAAGGAAACTTTAAATCATACCTTAACATAAGAATTTTTCACAAAATTCCATAAATCATCCAAAATAGTTCCAAAGTCAAAACTTAAGAGTTTTGTGAGATATGAACATGCATGCAAGCGTAAAATGATATAGTAGACGCGCTACAATGGCCTATGGCCTCATTACTATCCATTTACAAAATTTGACATACCAAACCTCCAATTTTCATAAAATAGGCTATAATAGCAATACTTGATTTTTAAAACATACTTGTGAACTTTAAAGTTAATGACCCTTGGCCTCATGTCCTCATGTCATACATACAAAATAAGTATTGACAAGTGTACTTAAATATACATTACACATCAAGGAAGCCACATTAGCTTCTAAAATATCACACACCCATGATATACAAAATATATTATCAAAAGTAAAACATGCTAAACATTTGCATGTCAATAAACAAAAATATTCCAAAGTGCTCATAAGCCTCTAAGGAGGATGAGCATCCGAAAATATAGTCACCTTACTTGTAAAATAACCCAAACAACCAGGGTGAATAATCAAGTTACTCGTAGGAAGAAGCATATGCGTATACCCTAAAGTTTCAATATCATTACAAGATTAATATAGACGAATACAAGGGATCATTCCACTTAACGTCTATGTTCAAGGTGTTCTAAATGATCATCTTAAACTAACTTAAATGATTTTATCACAACATAATATCAATACTAATGTACTTAACAACATTAAATCGCCAAAAACTAAAATTTACAAGTCATAATTAAACATTAATTGTCAACTTGGAATTAAATGTGAAATCAAATAGTGAAAAACTTAGACATCAAATCCCGGATTAAACCAGGACCTAAATGGTTATTCCGGGCACTAACCCGCTGGGAATACCACCCTAGTGCACACTAAAAATGGGGAGAACTCGTGCCTCCCGCACTAGAGCCAAACTCTAGCCATGTCATTTGTAACAATGTCCCAAGAGAATCCAAAATCATAATTAAGTTCAAAGCTTATAGATAATAATTAAGGTATATAAACCACCTTCCACACAAATAATTTGAAACCACACAAACCATGGCTTAGGGTTCCAAGTCTAAAATGGCATACCAAATGACTAGTCCTCATCATGATATAATGTACAATGTAATACCATTAACTTATCAATTAAAATCATACCACAATAATAAGCTTTATATACTAGATTATAACATTGTAGTAATAGGCTTCTAAAATAATTACCAATAGTCATCAACAAGATTATAGAATTATCACCACAATAAATATAACAATTCAAGTGAATAAGAATTGTATATAACCTTAATAATTCTACACAAGATAAATACACATCACACATACTTAAATAAGTAAATCCTAAGTCAAATGTGAGGATTTCTTATAATATGCAAGACTACAATATTAAAAGCATGCACATAATATATATTAAATTCCAAAGGAACATAAAACACTTAAAGTATAAACATACTACCACCCCTACCTGAATAGAGAATTGAATCTCTATAATCCAAAGCAACCAAGCTTAAAATGGAAAAAAAGTATAGGGTTTTGTATAGGAGAGTAAGAGGAAACTTTTACTTCCCAAGGTTAAAGGTCTAAGGTGAGTGGAAGGAGGCCAAAATGAAGTAATAAGCTCTAAGCCAAGATTTTTTTCAATGGTGGCTAGGTTTTGGGTTTTAAGAAAATAGAAGTGAGAAAGGTGAAATGAATGCGGTGAGTGGAGGATGTAGTATTCCTCTACTCGCTCTGTGCTCTTACACTACCTCTCACACACATACTAATGCAAGACTAAATTTGGAACCTAAACTTGTCACCAATCCATGGCACCTTTAAAGACTTAATCCTACCCCTACACTTATCAACCATCTAAGCCAACAAGTGCACCTATCCTAGGCCTAGAAGTGGGTGAATCTCCACCCTCCACATTGATGAGCACTGAAAAATGCGCATTTAAACCCCTTAAGCTTAGGTATTCGAGAACCTTTATCTATCTTATTTTCTCGCTTTGTATTGATTCCATGTTATTTCCATTTTTAGGTACTTATCCCTAAAATAAGCTAACTCAGCCAAATAAAAGCAGAAATGAAGCAATTCTGGGATGAATCAAAGAAAGGAGCAAAGTAGAGCAAAAGGAAGCAAAGGGTGGAATTTCAGCAACTTCGATCGATCTCAAGAAAAGTTCCATCGATCCAACTTTCAGCGATCTCAGTACTTCAAGATGGATCTGAGCCATGTTTGTCCCTATTCAAAGATCTCAAAGTTTGATCAATCCAACTTGATTCTCTGATCGATCAAACTTTCTTATCCCTATCCACATGCTAGATCTTATCGAGCTGTACCACCCTACCAACCACTTTTGTCCTTTTCCCAAAAATATCTTCAAAATATCTCAGATTTGTTTTTATCCAAAAAGGCGCCGCCATAGAGGATCGATCCAGCTTCAATTCGATAGATCTCAGCCATGTTCGATCGATCGAACTTCCCAAATCTCGAGAAAATCCAA